TTTTTTTTTTTTTTTTTTTTTTTTTTTTTTTTTTTTTTTTTTTTTTTTTTTTTTTTAATAATTTATTTGAGCTTATTGACTTACTGTATAAACAGTGAGAAGACTCACAATGATACCCATCTTGATTGAAGGCCAAAATTTGCAGTTATTTTATAAGCTATTTGAGTCATTTTCAGAGTATTTATATTACTTGAATTATACTAATTGTTAAGGGAGTTGAAAATGATTGATTTAAGACATAGTCAACATAAAATTAGACATATAATTATCAAACCTATACGCAATCTCAAGTGGTTAATTAAAAAAAATATACCTAAAAATGCACCATTTATTGTTTATAATAAATGAGAATTTCAATTTAATAATACCACATGCCCTATTTGATAAGAAGAAACTAATTTAATAATTTCTCTTGTTTACATTTATTAAAGCCAATGTTAATTAATTTTCCTCACTACAAAGAAAAACTCCCTTCCAATTGTTGGCTGAAAACAGGACAAAATGAACTCGAAGAAATTTCAAAAGCAACTTTATTTTTGTTACATGAACTCAAAGAAGATTATTATTAAAAAAAATAATAAACAAATCATTAAGTTAAAACCAGAGCAAGACAAAAACCAAAAGTTGAAAGAGGTCATTCGAATTCTATGTATGTATATACAACAATCTGAAATCTCGGACAATAATGGAAGTAGGAATAGAATAAAGCTACAAAGTCCTTCATTTTTGTCACTAACGGTCAATTAAAAGTTGAGAGAATGCAGAGAGGAAGGGTTAGTGGGGGAACAGAATCTACACAGATTTTGGTTGATTCCTTTTCACTTTTATCTCTTTTGATGATCTTTCAGAACAGCCTCATTAATGGGGTGTCCAAAAGGAAGGGTACAAGCAAATAGCAGAGAAGAAGATATTGATATTCTGACAAACATGTCACTTAATGGAGCACAACTCAACTTCATTCATTCAAATACGTGTAGACAAAAGCATGTTGCTCAAATAGTAACATCAGCTTATTTACAATATCTTAGTTGTTGGCCTTTTACCTTTAAAGAATGCAACATTTCAACACTAGCCCCTTTTGGTCTACTCGTCCATCTTCATTTCCTGCAACAAGTAAGTTATCCAGACTTGAAGAATGACAGGAAAGATATTATGAAGTTGAAGATATCACAAGACAAGCAACTGAATGGGCCTTAAAACATTTTAAGAATCATGATCGAACTTCACTAGCAGAAGCCACAACCACGCCAAAGTAACGAGACATCTAAAAATAGTCCACTGGTACGGTTTATCAGATTCGACCAAATGATGTCACTTTAACAAGACGGAGCTCTGTCAAGGACAGATTGTTAAAGTTCTTCATGCTTTCCATATATGGTACCACTGGAAGACATCTCATGAACCCACCTGATGGATGACACTGAAGTGTCACGCCTGATATGCCAGCACCACTAACAGCTCTATAAAATCCTCTAATTTAAACAGTCCGTTGCATGATGTGGAACAGAGTTATGAAAGATTAGGACTTTCGCTTTGATTCTTCAAGCTCTCCTCGTCAGATCAAAAGATATTTGGTTGTTAGAAAACACATGCTAGCTAGGTAGCCACTATTGATTTGATCCCAAAGTCTCTTTTATTTTTCACTTTCTCCAAAACCGAGTGGCTATGTGGTAGATCTTGATTCCATAGGTATAATAAGCACAAATACATCAGTTTGGCTAGCTTGTCCATGTCCAACATATGTCGGACATTTAGATGCTCCAAAACTTGTTGGACACATATAGGGAACTTGTTAGCACAATAGATGTGTTAGACATTAGTTGCACTAAAGTCAATATAGATCCAGCATTTGTTAAACACATATATAACATTTATTAAGTATACTAAATTGACATGTAATAATAAATTTTGGGGGTGATACATCAAAATCATTCTTTTAAGCATATCCATGCATAAACAAACGGACTTTGAATTGCCTAGTATCAAAATGATACATATTTTAAAATTTTATATTTTAATAAACATGTCCATGTCCTAGATTTATATAAAATGACATTGCAGTGTATGTGTTGTATTGTATTTGTATCTCATATTCGTATATGTGATTCGATTCTTAGCCCCCTAGGGTGAACACATTCCACAATTTAACAGAAAATAAATGAATTAAATAGAGCTATCATGCAGAAAATTCCTACTTTGAGCCTCCCTCTGGCCTCTCACATGCACTTGTTCCTTCTCGACTAATTAGGAGGCTATTGTCTTTACTTGGGTGTGCCACCTGGAGTCTGGACGAGCCCATAGATTTTGAGAAACCACAGAGGATGTTTAAATGAAGCAAGTTACATACTCCTGAAATCTCTGTTCAGGAGTTACATATTGAATTTAAGCATGTTACATACTCCCAACGCAGAATAATGCTTCTGAAATCTCTGTTCTTTCAAGCATATCCCCATACCCTCTTTCTTAAATTCAATATGCCTTGGAAATTTAAGAGAAGAACAGAAATTAAAGGTTATCACCTAATGGGACGGGAGGTCTCCATTCTTGTTGAAAGAGGTAATCCTGAGAGAGGAGGCCTAAAGAACACAAATACAGCTTTGATATCGAAATGGAGATGAGTGTTTAATTCAAAGGCATAACCTTTATGGGTCAAATTTTCTATTAGTTCATATGGGCTTGATCAAGAGGCTGGAAACCATAAGTTCTCACTGTCCCAAGTTCTTGAATGCATATTTCTTCTATATGCATTCAGGAAACAGGATTGTCCTTGAAAGTTAATGGCCAGAGAGGATAGAGTTATGTTTTGGAAAGCATATCGTTTGAAGAACAGACATTTCCTATTATTTACCATAGCCTCTATGGGTTGGTAGAGTTCCAAAGAATAATTCATAAACTAACAATGGCTCAGTGATGAGGGCTCCTGACAGTAAATTTCCCAGAACCCTATTTGAAGCAGAGACCAGAAGTGGGCTGCTCTCTTTAACTGAACCCAACCAGCACCAAGGTTATGGAGTTGAACCTTGGATATGTCAAGCCAATTCACTTGTAAGCCCTTTTCAACCAGCTTTCACATTTCATCCAGGCCACCATACATTAACCCCATCCTCTCAATAGCATACTGAATACCAGAAAGTCCTTCCCTTGCACTTTAGTGCCGGAGCGTAGTTACAATAGAGACAGAATTAGGATGGAATTCCCAAGCCTAGCTTTGACTCTTAAATGAAACGTTAATGTATAGATGTTTGAAAGACCAAGACCACCTTTTATTTTCTTGCCCTCCCAATTCATCCTGCCCGTTTAGATTGTTGGGTAGATCTGGATTGCAATGGTGTTTCCTCAGGATAGCAAACAGGCTATTTCCAACTCCTTTGAAACCATAATTTCATAGACAAAATTGAAGTCTAAAAGTTGATGCCATGAAAGTGATCTTGTAGGAGGTGGGAGCGAAAACAAAACCACACAGTTTTAAAGACAGAATGCGGGAACCTAGATGTTTTGGGATATAGCTAGATTGCTAGTATACTCTCTCAAATCATTTTTGCATTCAGATATTTTTTGTTTTAGATAATGGAGTGTCATCTCGGAACCTCCTTCACTGGATAGCCTTCTTGGTTATACCCTCCTTGACTGGACGAAACAAATCTTATATTCCCTCAGGTACATTTTTTTAATAAGATATAGTTTCTCAAGCATGCAAATCAATTCAATCTGCTGTATATATTAACGAGAGGAGTGTGCTGTCCATAATGAGAAGTGAATAAATGAATAAACTCACCTTCAGAAGGCTGACTTAGTCTCCTGTTCTGGGGAGAAGTCATTTCTTTCTTCAACTGCATTAATATGTCCTCCATTGTATGCTCCCTTTGCCAATTAGAAAGCATGGGAAAAAGGCTTGGTTCCACCTAGTCATTCAGCTAAGCTGTTAATTTATTTTCGTCACAATGCAGCAAGCGTTTCACAAAATCATCACATACCACACCAGTTTCTGGATTGACACAGGTCATATTAATCCGAGTTTGAAATCTCACGCTGGGAGGATTATCAGGATAATCCTGTCCACAGAATAGCTTGAGTTGATAAATCCGTCCTTCATGAACAGTCTGAAAAGCAAGAAAGCAACGATTCAATTTACAATTCTATTCGTGCTCTCCCCAACAACAACAATAATAAAGAAGAATACATCAACTTCCACCAACGCAATGAAACCGCAATGCTCATTTTCATCAACATGAGGAAGGTACTCAAAAATATCAATTTTCTTTTGTGATGAATTTTCAAGGTAAAGACAATTAGAAAGTTAGTTATGTAACTACACTTCCCAAAAATTAAGTACATCAAACTGGCATCACAGACCCTCTGTGCACTTTTTAGGAGATTTTAGGAGGCAGAGACTGAAGATAGAATTTACAAACTACAAAAAAAAAAAAATAATAATAATAATAATAAATAGAGGGAGCACAAAGATCAGAGAATAATGTACTCTGGAAAAACTCAATTTAGATCATTTTCAAAATACCAAGGACATAAATCAAGTCCAAAAAGATCATGTATACTTTTTTTTTATATATATAAGGAACAATTTCTTTTATGTATGAAATCTACAAAAGGGACGTTAATTTGTGATGATTACAAAAGATTTTCCCAATTTGTTAGGACGGAGGAAAAGCCATAGGAAGCAAAGTAGAAGACAATTTACACCAAGAAATAACAAGGTAAACAACAAGGTCAAAGATCCTAGCATGAGATTGATCTTTGTCCAAGAAGACCTGCTGATTTTGCTCTTTCCAAATCCAAAAAACCGCTAATGCCATTTTCCGAGCAAAGCTTTAAAATGTTTGAAGGGGTGATGAGCCAAAACAGTATGTTGGAAATCTTTCAACACCCAAAGGCTAACAAAGTTTACATTTCTGTGAACTCCTACAATTGATACTGTGGAGTATGATATTTCCATCATTTTTTGAAACTATCCATATCAAGATTTATAGCAGTCGACCAAGATGTCATCAGAGACAATAAGCAATGAACAAAATGGATGAAAAATGAACTTACATTAGGTGGCCCTATAATTGTTCCCGTCCAAGACGCCATATAGATATCATCAGCATCATCCATTCCATAACTCACAGTTCCATCCCCGATTCCTTTTTCACCTCTTTCAAGTTCTTCCAGTAATCTGAAGTTTCGGGGAACTGCAAAATGATAATAACAAATAAACAAAATTAGATCTCATGGTGCAACAATTATAAACTCCTGTGAACAAGGTGAAAAAAAATCATTAAGATGTATGACGAGTTCTCATACATCGTCATTTACTGTCCTCAAACCACCACAATCTTTCGAAGAACAAATTACAGATTGTTGAAGAAATAACATGAAGATAGCAACGGAAACTAAACAAATAGATTCATTTTCAAAATGTATCTATCCAATGTAAAGCAGACAACATAAGATAAAGCGAACCAAATGATTACTTCAATTAGAAAATGAAACGAAAATAGTCTCATCCATCCATATCACCACACTCTTCCAATTTGGAGTAAACAAAAAAATCCAAGCATATCCCAAACACAATATTTGGAAATTACGTTGGCGAGAGAGTGAAAAATCATAATAAAAGTTGATTCCCGAACAGAACAAACTCCAACATCCCGAAAAAGAACAAACAAAAAAAAAAAAGGCGTTGCAGAATCAGAATTCGCATCAGAAAGAAGAAAAAACCTAACAAGATAGAAATTATCGAATGGTGGAATCGGATAGATTGGGGTTTCAAAGACTCACCGACTACCTTCGCGGCCTCGTCACCCATTTTAGACGATCGGTGTCTGAGCTAGGGCTCCCAAACTTAACTGTAAGAGAGAGAAAGCGTGCGATAGAAGATAGATGAGAGAGAGAGAGAGAGGGAGAGAGAATGGAGTAACACAAGAAATAATGGAGGAGTCAACTACAGTTCGGTACTCGGAAGAGGCAAAAAGCAGAGTAGTCATGTGCTTCGCGGCCTATGGTACTTCCCCTGCACCTGCAGATCACTGCCGTTCCATTGATATGCTTGATTGACAGCGGCTAAGGCGGTGGCATAGATCTGATCATAACAAACTTTACATGGATCTTATCATAGAGATTAGGAGACAAAAACAAAAGAATAAGGAAGACAGATTTGTAGGATGGATGGATGATGATATAAACAACAAAACACATGACGTTTCTGGCTTCTGTATTTTTTCTGGATTAACTTAGAGCGTCCAGAAACCTACAATCTTTGAAGCCCACAGATCTTCTGAGATATTGGGAAATCCAGAAATTTAGCATCTTTGAAGCCCACATGATCTTCTGAGCAATTGGGGAATCCAGAAATCTACGATCTTGAATCCCACGTGATAGTAATACTGCAATGAAATTGAACACATACATTTTGAGAAAGGAACGATGATACCAAGAAAGAACTCCCAAGTCTTTTGAGAAGAATCGTAAGTTTTTACCTCAGAGAGTGCTAATGTTACGCAAACAGCCTAGCAACATAAGATTGTGGATCTAGCGTTTGTTGTGGGAAAAAAACATGCAACAAAGATGGCAGAAGAGTGAAGAAAATCACAGCAACATACAAAATTTGGGTTTATTCTCTAATTGAATCACCCATATTCTGCAATTAGCATCTTTGTTTGACTATGTTCTTCACAACCAATGAGTTTATAGCCACATTTGGAGCCCCAAAAGGACAAGAAATATAACACATTCTGTTCAAATACGTGATAGATAATCGCGTTGGTCTCTCAGGCAATTTATCAAACAGATAGAGTGCATCATACAAAATTTTGAATTACCGTACCAGCTTAGACCCATCTCTTGTAAAATCCTCTTCCGACATGATCATGATACCTGCGCATCATTTCTTAAGAGTGAAAACTATCTCTACATATATACACAGAGTCTTCTTCCATATGTTTTGTCCTCACTCATATGCATTCTACGAAAATTCACGCTTAGTCATAGAGTTCCTATTACTTAACCCTTGAAGAAGAAGAAAAAAACGTGCACCTTGTTGGTATAGATAACGACTTTCGATTCTTTTAAGTTTTTCTTAACTATTTTGTTGTTATGACCCATTTCATTTGATTGCAGTATCTTTTCATTCATGTACCGCATATTTTCTCTGAAGTTCAACTAATTTTAATATATATTAAAAGCAAACTAAAATATAACTAATGTTAAAATATAAAAATCAAAATATCATTTTAACCAATTACCAATAGGACTCTTAAAAGTATCCATCAAATCTCGTCCCTAAACCATCTTTTACCTACTCATTTGACAAACTCATTAATTTGCTTTTATATATATTACTTTTTTGAAGTTTGGGCAATATGATTTGATATCTATTTTAATAGACTCCATCGTTATATTTAGTAAAGGAGTAAAGGATTAGTTTTTAAACGGTAAAGAAAGAAAGTTAGAATTTAGTCTCTATAATTCTTTTAATATAAAAGAGAATATTTATAAAAAATTTATTGAATAAAGAGTATTTATAAAGTTTTATGAGATGCTCACATTTCAAATTTAACCTATAAAAAATATAGCCTACCGAGTTATAGAATCTTCTTCGACACACGAAGGGCGATCTCCAGATTGGGTTAAAACATTAGGTAAGGGCAGAAAGGTCTTTTGGGACCCATATGTTTGGAATTTTTATCCTTTCCCCCTTTCTGTAATGGGTAGGGGCAAAAGTTTTAATGAATTTTGTTTCCCAATATTCTAAAAAATATCATCCTTTAAAATATTACTATTTTATTAAATATTATAATTGGAAGGGTAAGAAACAAATATAAACACGTAATGACAATTGAACGTCTTTTTCATTTTACCTTTATTCTTGCTTTTATAATTTCCAACACACAAATTTAAAAAACAAAATTTATTCCATAATGTCCTCTTCTTTCTATCTTTCTTTCTTTCTTTCTTTTCATTTTAAATAATATTTCATAAATGCTAATACACTTTTTAAATATTCTTCTTCATTAATTCATTCAAAAAGGATATTGATTTGAAATATTAAACCAATTTAACGGACTTAATTACTTTAATTATACAACATAATAACTATAATCACCTCCCATTACTGCATTCCAAGCCTTGCTATAACAATCATAATGTATACAAACCATCTTTACCCTTCAACTTAAAATATTTGTTTCCACGCCCTTGTAAATGATGTTTTGTTCTCCTCCTAATCAAGGTGAGATCTCACAATTCATCCCCTTTAGGGTCTAACGTCCCCACCGACACACCGCTCGGTGTCTGGTTTTGATATCATTTGTAATAGTCCAAGCCCACTTTACAAAATATTGTCTTTCATTCCAAATATTGTCTTGTCCTCTTAGGCTTTTCCAAATTTTGTCCCTTCCAAATATTGTCCTTTTAGGCTTTTCTCTCGTAGACCTCACATAAACCTTCTCTTTCTTTAGGACTCCGACCATATAAATCAACAATGAATACAATGATTCAAAGTTTACCCAACTCATTACAGGGAGATAAAATAGTGTTAAGAGATCTTTGTATCCGAACCAACAAACTTGACAAAGTACTTAAAAATGAAACAATTAACTAATATGGTGAATTGTTCAAGAAACACGATCAATCAATAAGGTTTGGATAACTTCAATTTAGGCAAAAAGAAAGAAGTGTGTGGAAAAGTGAGAGTATTGATAAGAGAGCTCAGCCAATGTCCTATCATTTGCAAGTGGATTGGGTGCCATCTTTCATTTCATCGATATCTATTTGTATTATTTCAAAATTGATGGTAACATAACAGAAGAAAACAATCTATCTTTGCCTACAGCAGCTATAATTCACAATTGATCATGAACAGCCCCAACCCCCATGTACAGCCCCGATCAAGCTTTTGTCAATGTCATGAACATGGCTTCCATCAGATTGCAGAGAAGAAAAGATCAAACCATTTAATTGAAGTTTTCCTCTCCATATTTACAAGGAACAAAAGACAAGACTGAGCTCACAGATCATCAGTTGCTAGAAGATCATCCTTCTTTTGCTCTCCCATGGATGTCAGTCTTTCAACTAAGATATCTAAAGCTTCCTTCATCCACCAGTGTCTGCATACTTCTCGAGCTTCACCAACACTCATCTGAGTATAAACAAAGTTCAAATTCCATATTAGACAATGATCTTAACAATCGTGTTTACAATGAAATCTAACAAATTTTGATAGCATATGAGCTTTCAGAACATACCCAAATTCTCTCTCGAACATGCTTCTCAGGCCACAGGTCTAGCTGCTCCTCAACAAATAAAGGGAACATATAGCCTTCATAGTAAGTGCCTTGGCTTTTGCTGATGAATCTCCATTTCCCAAGTTGAGACTGTAACATAACAAAAAACCAAATCCACTTTAATTTCATAATCTTCCATGGGTTTCAAAAGAAGATTTACAAAAGACAAGATACTAACCTCAACTTGGCCAAGAACTCCAGCTTCTTCAAGTGATTCTCTAGATGCAGCTTGTTCTAAGGATTCATCAAGCTCCCAACCACCCTAAAATGGGAAAAATCTCTCAATGACAAAGAACCAAATTGATAAAAACAAGAAGTAATTCATAGAGTTTTGTGTTTGTGAAGTACCTTGGGGAACATCAGGCCTTGACCCTTTTGAGAACTTATCACAAGCACCTCGTATTCATTATCAATCTTCATCCCATCTTCGCTGTATTTAAATCTATACGGGATACAACTGCAATAATCCAACATTTTGGCATGTTAATCGACTAAAAATGACAGAAGCAAACAGAACAAACTGAAAAAAACCCAAAATCAAAGAAGAAATGAAGACCCACCCGACAACTTGGCGAAACCCCATATGATTATATCTCTGCAATTCTCTACCAGTACGAGAAACCAAACAAGCCATGTTCTCAAATCAAAGAAACGAACCGAAACGAAACAGAATCTTCAAATCAAGCCCAGAAAGCAGAGAGATCTAGATGGAATCTGGCGGAATCAATGAATCGAAGATGAAGATTAAGAAAAGAAAGAAAAAACCAGATTGAAAGGCAGAGGATGAGGATGAGGATGAGAAAAGGGTGGATGAAGGGAGGCATATATAGAAAATGGCGGTTGGTGATGGGATAACTGCGAGGGCAAAAGTACGCGTAAAAAGGGGGGCGGATTGAATTTTGAAGGGAGTCTTTCAGTGCGTGCGATGAGCGTAAAGACAGCGTATAGCCCACAAGCGAGAGCCAACGCCACTTGGCTTTGGGTCGTGGATGGCGACATCACAATCAGGCTTTTCTTGCATTTCTTCTTCGTTGTAATCAGCTTCCGTGTCGTTTCCTTCAACAGCTATTTCACGCTGCTAAGCGAGAGCCAATGCACCCACTTGGCTTAGGGAACTCTTTTGCTTTTATGGCTAAACGTTGACTCTTTTTGGGCTTTCTACACCTTCCTCCTTTTCATTCACACCCATCTCTCTCCCTATTTGAATTGCAACAAATCCAATTTTGTTAGGATAATATTTTAATAATATAGGTCGTAATGGACAAGATTGTCAGTATAACAACTTAAGTTCATCGTTAGTCGATATTGTCGTTTAGACCCCTCAAAGTTTGTAAAACGCATTCGATAGAGAGAGATTTCCATCCCATTCAGGTACTAGTATCCTCGCTCGCACACCGCCCAGTGTCTGGTTCTGATACCATTTGTGACAACTCAAATTCACAGCTAGCAAATATTGTCTTTCTATATTATCTTTTTTAGGTTTTCTCTTTTGGGTTTCTTCCTCAAGGTTTTTAAAACGTATATGCTAAGGTGATTTGAGATCTCATTGTCAACGCTAGAAATGTCCATTTAACACGTGATAACATGTCAGTAAGAAGTATGGAGAGAATTAGAAGAGATTTCTCTTCATTAGCTAAACGGTTCGTTTTTTCCTAATCCAATTCATGTTATATTTACATATAAATATATCAAAACTAAAGTACAAAACCTACCGTCAATATTATATCTATATCTTATTCTATTTATTTTTAATATTAAAATTTGAGTTTTTATAAATTATATTGATAAAATATTATATTATATTTTTTTAATAGAAACTAATTAAAAACAG